TATCGTGAACATTTTATGGTCTGTCCACTTTCGAAGCAGTTTTTGACGACGATTAAAATCTAAACAATTTCAGTTTGTCCACAGATCCATCAGCCATAACACAGTGTGATGATAAGACTTTCCTAAACAATATTCGGAATCTGCCTTCAGCTACAGTTGACGTGAAGCGTGGCGTTGCTATTAAGGTATTCAAACCGATTTAGTTCTCATCTGACAAACTGAACAATCATATCATGACTGATCATAAACTATTCAATTGCAAATATACGAAGTCAGCAGCTGAATACATTCAACACTGTTGTCATTACTACCGTTGCATTTATGCCGTCGTGCAAATTGTTTGTACACTGAACTTGCTTGAGCTTAATATTAAAAACGGAAAGTATTGCTTGCGATTCGAGCAAAACTTTCCAGAGTAAAAAACTTTACACAATTATCCGAAAAATATCTGACAGAGAATGTTACTTTTCTAGTAATTTACCATATGAAAGTTTATCAAAAACCATTTCGAAATTGCAAATGATTAATAATTTCAGTTAGAAAATACGAATGGCAGCAATAATAACAGCACGGATATGGATACGTGCGTTTCCTCATCGGCCAGTATGGTCGAAGAGAGTAATCGAAGTATTTCGGTTGCTAATTCAGTGACTCCTAACGGAAACTGTTGTACGTTTTCAGTAAACTCTATGATTTGTTTCGATGCTCTACTGAAATTTTCACGTCCTTTGGAAATTCACTCCTCTCACAACTTTACGTTACTTTACGTCGAAGCTACTGGATTGAAGCCGAATAGCTTCTGCTGAAATTCATCGTCATTGTGAACGATTACGTGCGATATTTCATTCAAACCAAAACGTTCTTTTGCAATTTTCAGTTGGTCTCACCAGTCCGCTGAACTGTTTGAAAAACCAACGAAGCCTAGAAAGTATATTGCGACTGCGTACCGGTGAAAATCTCCAGCCACGGTGAGTGTTAATGATGTGTTTCATCATAATATTATAGTTCAGCTCTACCACATGCGAAGCACCGCATGATTTTCTAAACTTGCAATTACGAAAATTTCGTGTACTTACAAACATTCGTCTGCTACAGTGATAATAATGCAGTTAAGATATAGCCAGCAACAACGAAATGCTAGTGTTTTAACTCATTATTGGTCGAATCTTAGCGCACTTCAAAACATTTCCGTTAGAAAGGTAATTCAGAAGTAGGCAGTAATCGAACGATTTTTTCAGTTATTTACTTCATAAACTCAACTGGCACGTGTTGGATGATGAACAGATCTCAAATACAGTCTTTGATACTTTCAACACGTTGAATACACAGGGCATTATGGAGGTTAGTGCCTAGCTCTCCTTAGGCAAACTGAGAAATTGCGTATTTACATGTGTTTACATGCCTTTTCTCGTGAATTCGTCAAATTATTCACGGGATCGTTTGATGGATTTACATATACATATTTGACGTTAATCGAACATTGATCCAGCATGCTTTGGTAGTGAGATGCCTCTTATTATTCGACGGCAATACTGCTGCTTTTAGTTCAGACGATTTTTTTTGTTGATACATTACACTTTCTGTCCTCCTAATTTTACCCCACTGTTTTCATGTTTGATACTTTTATTAATTTGAGTATGAGGGTGTCAAATAACTAGAATTTCTCTTGTCTAGAGGGGGTGAGAAGAAATGAAGAAAATTGGAGAAATGTGTTCTCATCAACTGGTGAGTTATGCATGCGATTAAATAATGAACATAATTTATTCTCCTAACATATTGTGTCTACTTCCAGAAATTAGACTTAACGCAGTTCGAGCCGTTAGTCGAAGAATCCACATTTCTGAACGAAGAACAACTGGAAAAGATCGCTGAAGTGCGACGTCAAATAAACCTTCAAACGTTCGAAATCATGTATGCTGTGCATAGGTGCGATAAAGTATTATTATTTTTATTGTTATTATTTGATTGCTGAACATCCGGTCGGTCATTTCCAAAGTTGTGTAACTAACTGTAGGACTCAAAAAGATCGAGCATTTGACATCCGAGACCGAATGCAATATTGCGTCTGATTACAGATTGGATTTGGGCGTTCTGTCGGCTGAAAACGTCGACTTGGTGACGAGTATTGCGCCGAGTGCCGTCGATATACATCGTTTTAAGAATTACGAAATGTCCAATTCAGTGAGTACGCTCGGTGAAAATGAACAGTTCGTTCTACAGGTGAGCACTTCGTTCACGATCGAATCGTATTTCATTCTCATATCCTTTCATCCCATCAGTCTCGACCTTGTTGAATCTCACCTCAATTTACAGTGGCTTTTTTAAGCAAGCTTGTTAGTGACTGTAACGCTAGAACACTTCCTTCACATTAAGCTTCTTATTCGTGACACATATCTTCGGTGATATGTGATGATTCAGAAGTATCCAGTTAAGACCAGCCAATTAAGAATAGCCAATCTCATTTTTTGATAATGCCATTTTCAGTTGTCAAAAATCGAGCGAATGGAAGAGAAACTGCAAGCGATGTCACATATGAGTAAATTTGCGAATCGCGTCAGTACACTCAATCAACAATTCAGTGATTTCTTAAACGCCGCAAAACTTTTGCATACGTCCACTGAATTTCATTACATCCTTCAAATACTGTTGACTTGTGGCAATCTGATAAGTGGTGATTTCAATGCTCAAATCATTAAAGGATTCCGTACTTCGTCGCTTGTGGACGTAAGTTCTTTTCATGACAGCAACAAATTTAGTTCACTTTTTAAGCTCTTGCAAGAAGTTGATTCTGTAATCAGCAGCTCATTATCGACTGTTCACTCCCTTCGTCGATGTCAGAACAGATAATCCGGCCGGCTAGTGCAGTAATTTTTTCCAGCTATGATAACAGCAAGTTACTCTGTTTTGGTGTTGTCTACCCAGTTTACAAGAGTCAGTATCGCAAATCGAATAATTTTATGAGATTACTAAAAACTGGCTGCTTTTGAGAAAGGCTCTAATTGTTTCGTTTGATCGCTCGAAGTATCACTCACACTCGAATCGCGTGACTTTATAACCCGAAAATTATAAATGAGTATGCGTTGCGATGCGCATTTTGGTAAGTAATAATAATA